TCCTCAGCCAGCTTTGCTGGCTGAGGAACTCTGGGAGTTGAAGTCCACAAGTCTTAAAGTTGCCAAGGTTGGAAACCCCTGTATCTAGCCCAACTCAAGCAGGTAACCTGATACCTTTCTGGACAAATGGCTGTCCAAGGTTTTCTTAAAAGCCTCCAGTGATGGAGCACCCACAATTTCTGAAAGCAAGCTGTTCCACTGGTTAATTGTCCTATCATCTTGAAGTACAGACAGTCCTCAATGTATGACCACAAATGAGCCCAAAATTTCTGTTGCTAAGCAAGGCAGTTATTAAATGAGTTCATTTGTGATTTTTTTTTTGCCAGTTTTTAAGGAAATAACTGCAGTTGTTAAGTGAATCATGAGATCATTAAGTGAATCTGACTTCCCTTATTGGCTTAACTAGCTTGTCAGAAGCCAGCTAGAAAGGTTACAAAATGGTGATCCTGCAACCGTCATAAATATGAATCAGCTGCCAAATGCTAAATTTTGGTCACATGTCCATGGGGATGATGTGAAAACTGGTCACACACCACTTTTTTCAGCCCTGTTGTTAACTTCAAACTGTTAACTAAGTGAATGGTTGTTAAGTTGACTTCTACAATACCCAGAGTTGCTTCTGTAAGATGGGCAGGCATATAAATGTAATAAATAAAGATATGCCTACATGTCTCAAAAATCCGTCATCCTTTGCTACAGTTGTGGATAATTTCTCAACTTCTTTGCATACATTCCAGCCTCAGTTTAACAAACAATGATTGCCCTGTTGGTTGTATTTAACTGACATCTGACCCCTCTGTTTACATTCTTCTGTCTTGGCACTCATGAATACGTTGCATCTGCCAACTGCTGACAGAATGCCACACAGCTGATCATGGGAATCCAGTCCAGGACAGATCGCGCCACGATAAGGGCTTTAAAACAGGAACAAGGGCCTATTGTGATTTGTTATCTCTGTGCGTGCCTGTCTGTGTCTGTGTGTATTTGTCCCAGTTTATCACCAGGAAGCACTGAAGACAACAAAATCTGGTGGAACAAATGTAGTCTCTGATCTTAACAGACTCATGTTACACAGGAGAAAAAATTGCAGAAGTATGATGATGCTTTGCAATGGTTAAGCCAAGAGGGATGTGGCCATAAGACCAGGACTGTGACAGTGGCACTACGGGTAGTACTTGACTTACAACCACAATTGAGCCCAAAATTTCTATGGCTGGGTGAAACATTTGTTACGTGAGTTTTGCCCCATTCAACTTTTCTTGCCACATTTGTTAAGTGAATCACTGCGGTCGTTAAATTAGTGACATGGTTGCTAAGGGAATCTGGCCTGCCCATGGACTTTGCTTGTCAGAAGGTCATAAAAGGGGATAATGTGACCCTGGGATGCTGCAACTGTCATAAATGTGAATCAGTTATCAAGCATTCAGAATTAGAATTCTTTTATTGGCCAAGTGTGATTGGATACACAAGGAATTTGTCTTGGTGCAAATGCTCTCTGTGCAAAAGATACATTTGTCAAGAGTCATCAGGTGCAACACTTAATGATAGTCACAGGATACAATAAGCAATCAAATCATACTAGGAAACAGTCAATATAGATCGTAAGGATACAAGTGACAAAGTTACAGTCATACAGTCACAAGTGGGAGGAGGGGATGGGTGATAAGGAGTGATGAGAAGATAGTAGTGCAGGGAATTATTTGTTTAGCAGAGTGATGGCTTTCGGGGGGAAACTGTCCTTGTGTCCAGTTGTTCTGGTGTGCAGTGTTCTATAGCATCGTTTTGAGGGAAGGAGTTGAAACAGTTTATGTCCGGGATGTGAGGGGTCTGTAGATATTTTCACAGCCCTCTTTTTGACTTGTGCAGTATACAGGTCCTTGATAGAAGGCAGGTGGGTAGCCATTGTTTTTTCTGCAGTCCTAATTACCCTCTGAAGTCTGTGTCTGTCCTATTGGGGTGCAGAGCCAAACCAGACAGTGATAGAGGTGCAGATGACAGACTCCATCATTCCTCTGTAGAACCGGATCAGCAGCTCCTTGGGCAGTTTGAGCTTCCTGGGTTGGCGCAATTCAAATTCTGATCACGTGATCATAGGGAGGCTGCAAAGGTTGTAACTGTGAAAAATGGCCATAAGTCACTTTTTTCAATGCTGTTGTATCTTCGAACGGTCACTAAGTGAACTGTTGTTAAGTTGAGGACTACCCATAGTACTGTAGGTAAGGAAACACCGTCAGCCCAAAACATAGATTAATTTAATTCCATGAAGATAAAGGACTCATCTACACACGGCATTTTTTTAAAAAAAATGTATAAATGTATATATCAAAGAATTGCTGTGACAGAAAGTCGATATAATTACAGAAAAACAGTCCTCGACTTACAACCATTCATTTAGTGACCATTTGAATTTGCAATGAAATTGCAACGACTGGTCCTCACCCTTATGACTCTTTTAGCATCCCCACGGTCATGGGATCGAAAGTCAGGCACTTGGCAACTGGCATGTATTTAGGACCGTTGCAGCGTCCCAAAGTCGCCTTTTCTGACCTTCTGACAAAGTCAATGTTCGCTTAACAACCAGATGATTCACTTAACAACTGCAGTGATTTGCTTAGCAACAGTGTTATAAAGGTTCATAAAATCTTGCATGACACTTAATAATTTCTTGCTTAGCAATAAAATTTGTGGTCTCAAGGATTTACTGTAAAAATACAGGTAGTCCTCGACTTACAAGTTTGTTTAGTGACCTTTCAAAGTTACAATGGCACTGAAAAAAGTGACTGACAACCGTTCTTCACACTTACAACCATTGCAGCATCCACTGCAGGTCACGTGATCAAAATTCAGATGCTTAACAACTGACTCATATTTATGACAGCTGGGCGTGTCCAGGGGTCATGTGATTCCCCCTTTTCAACCTTCTGACGAGCAAACTTTTTTAAAAAATTTTTTAGAAAAATACTTTATTAAGCAAATTTATACAAATACAAAACCAAACATTCCGCTTGTCGCAACATAAGCAAGACAGTGTTCACTCAATCTGACATCTCTCAAATTATGTAGAATAATAATTCACAATTACTTTAACATATAACACGAAGTTTCATCTAATTATATATTACAAACGTAGTTGCATGTAATGTTACTATTTTCTGTCATACCTTTTTATTTGACTTTGTTTTGGGGGAAGCCAGAGTCACTTAACCACCAGGTTACTAATGTAACAAAATGGAATAATTCACTTAACCATTGTGGCAAAAAAAAAGTCATAAAACAGGGCAAAACTCACTTTAACAAACGTCTCCTTTAACAACATAAATTTCAGGCTCAGTTAAGGACTGGTCGTAAGTCAAGGACTGCTTGTATAGTCCCAAAGCTGTATCTGGTCAAGAGGCCCATTGTGTCATTACAGAGATGACCAAAGAAGGAAAAAACAGAAGCATGGCCAGACTTTGACCATCCAAGTCAGAAGTGTGTAATTTGGAGAAACTGCAACAATGGGCTACAATGCGTTTTTCATTATGAATGTGACTGGACAAGGCCAGGGCAAAAGTGAAATCTGATTTATCCTACTCTGCGTTTTTTCAACTGCTTTAAAATTAAGTAGCCCTGACCTAAAAGATTTAATCTGATTAACAGAGTTGTGAAAAGTTGAAAAGTTTCCCCTTGTGGGATCCCTTCAGTACACACACACACACACAGACACACACACAAAGAGTCTTCCCCAAAATGAAGCATCTACATAGGTTCACTCAGCCTTGCTGTTCAGCCTTTCCTAACACGTCCAGTGCAGGTAAGTTCCCCTGCAACTTACAACCATTTGTTCTAAGTGCAACAGTGCTGAAAGGGGTGACTTATGACCAGTTCTCACACTTGTGACCCTCACAGCATCCCCATGGTCACGTGATCAAAATTCAGGAGCTTGGCAACTGTCACATGTTGTATTTCTTAGCCGCCCGTTTCCCTCAGAGAGCAGATCTCCGTGGTGTTTATATGGCGGCTGCAGCGTCCCAGGGTCACGTGATCATCGCCATCTGCGACCTTCCCGGTCAGATTCCGACAAAGTCAATGGAGGAAGACTGATTTGTTTAACGACCACACAATTCATTTAACGACTGAAGTGATTCACTTATCAACCATAGCCAAGAAAAAGATTGTAAAATTGGGCACAACTTGCATAACAATCTCTCTGCTCAGCAACGCTGCTGCTCCTAAGTGGAGGATTGTTTGTAGCTTTAATTTAAAACAAAACAAAACAAAACTTCATGCAAATCTCACCACTGCCTGAGCCAAAGAGGAAAAAGCCGCCCAAACTCTCCTCCAGGCTGCCCTGGTCGGTCTCCCCTCCACCCCGAGCCTCAGGGCAAGGTGACCCAAAGGGAGCCCCTCTCCAAGGAGTCCCCCTGAGGAACAGATCCTGATGGGTGGTGGCTCCCCAAAGCCCCTTCCCACCTCTGCTCAGCAAGCTGCTTTTCTTTTTCTTTTCGAAAAGGAACATCTCTTATTATTTCAACCCAGATTTCAAGACAATCCTATTTAGGTCCTTGAGATTCTAAATGAAGGACTTTATTATTTAGAAAGTATTGAAAAGAAGAAAAAATATACGTTCTATCAAGGTCAAAGGCTTTTTTACCATGTCAATATTGCAAGCCTAAATTTTTTTTCCACTTTTCAATCAAAATTGAGGACCACATTAAAAAAAAAAGGTCTGTAATATTTTGTATCCAAGCTAATGTGACAATCATTTTGGTTGGGAATGGATAACTTAATATTAAGATCTTCTTTATATTAGTATGATAGATAGAGACGATAGATTAGATTAGATTAGATTAGATTAGATTAGATTAGATTAGAT